AGAAAAGTTGCATCAAAAAATACTGCACAAAATCAGTGCAATGAGTGCAATCAAATACCTCGGCTCCAGACGTCCCGCCCCCTCCAAAGACGCTCCCCTGCTCCTCTCCCAAATTGTAGCTGACCGCAAACAGTGCCGCAGACAGGAGGCCGGCTTGTTTTGTTTTTATGACCGAAATTGCGGAAAACAACTCGTGAAGTTTAACCCGCTAGAAGAGCGAGGTGCACGAGAACGCTGGGACCCTTTTTCCACCTGGATCTCCGCTCTTTTTGGCCCTCATGTCCCTCCGTCGTCGGACTAAACTCGCCCGCACTTCCTCGTCGCCTCGGCCGTATCTAGACCCACAGCGTGTAGCACAGACCACGCTTCAATACTGAGGATAAATCAAAAATGTCTGTGTCAAGCTTACTGCAACACTCTGCTGTAAGAGTATAACCAGGAAGCGATGTAGGAGGGCAAAATAGGTTTAGCGCCACCACAGCACGGGAGGGAGAATTACGCCCAGGAGGAAATGGATAAAAATAGACCGGAGGAAAAAAACAAAACATGAATCGATTATCATCCGGATCGTCGGCTGTTGGATCGATGCATCGATACAAAACGATTATTATTTACACTCCTAGCTCTGACTGAGATAAACCCAGGTCTGTTTTGGTTGGACTATGCAGAAATTCAAAGGTAATATTATGGGTCTGACTGGAAGACAGACGCGGTTACAAAGTAATACACATCCGCTTTGGAGGGAATAGGAAATAAAATCTGTTAATCGTGTGGAGAAACAGTCAGTTTGGAGTCGCACAAACAATCAATTAAATTTTTTTAAAACAGAAAATTATTTCAGGAGGACAGAAAATGGATAAAATATTGGATCCTCTCTGAGCCCTAAAAAACAAAACGTCTTTCTTAATCCCATCTCACTGCCTCATCCAGCATTTAAACCTTCCTAAGCCTTTATTGGAGCGTTTTCCTTTTCTTTAAACATTGTTCACCTTATTTTTCTAATACAGACCTATGAAAATGATCTGTTCTGGTTTAAGAGATGCTCACAGACACAAGCTTGGCCTTGCTTTAAAGCTGTGCTGGCTGTTTTTATTTTTATTTATTTATTTTTATTAAATTTCATCATATGTTCCAGTCAGATGTTGGAAATAGTTTCAATTTGTGTGGCACAGAGAGAAGTGTAATAGATTTGCTCACTCTGCGCAGTCAGAGCCTCTCTATTCAGTCACTGTGAAAAAATAAATAAATAAAATCGTATCAAAGAACAAAAATTTGTAGACAACAGTTGTGAGCCAGCGTTTCCATCTACATACAGACATTTTCTCCCTTCTTCCTCCAGCTGAGTCAGACTAAGATTAAATCAGATTTCTTGACTTTGACTAGGCCGTTCTAACTCCTGATCTGCTCTGATCTAATCCACCAGAGGCTCTGGGTGGTTCTGCTGCAGGGAGGCAAACCTCCACCCAGCAAACAGAGAAACGGATTATTACAATGTGAGATTGTACTCATTCATTAACAGTCAGAGATGTTACAGGTTTATATCCTTTACAATGAGATCAAAGGTGGTTTCCTCTTCGCCGTTTTACATAAATGTTGCCTAAAACAGAATTAAGTTGATGAGAAATCCTGTTTTGGATGTGGAGCACAGCTGGTTTTCTTCCAAGAAGGGTGTGAATACTTTCGCAAAGCATCGCAGAGACCAAATAAAGTAAAATAAGGCTTTATAGAGGTGATAAACACACAGATCTGCTGTTCAATAACAGACTGAGACCCCGCGACGCCCTCGATGACGGATTCATCACGACTTCACTCAGAGTTTCTCTGGAAGGTTTTTGTCCAAAACGAAACAAACTGACCGCAAGTCCAACAGTAAAGGGTAAAGAACCGAAACTGAAAAACAAACCAGCAAAGTGTGAAAGAGGAGAGAATTTAAAGAAGGAGAGTTGGTCCATGTCAACAGAAAACCCAGAGGCCCTCAGGAAGTCTGCCTGTTGAAAGAAGGACTGGTGGGGGGTGGGGGGGTTCTCTGTGCTCATCAGACCATGAAATGCTTCATTCTTCCCACAGAATCAAGGTCTCTGTCTTTTCCTATGCAGGAGCAGCTGTTGGCCTGCTTGCGATGCTGCGTAAGAGCTGAGAAATGCAGCCAACTGAGCAGAGGGACTCATTTCCAGCTGCTCCAGACCGTCTCCAGACCGCCAGGCTGCTGCATCTCCATCCACAGACCAGCGGTTAAAAACAGCTGCATGTTTCCCTATTAGAAACCCAGAGGGCAAACTAGCAGAACGACTCTGAGGCTTATGAACCCAAAGAGGACTGACTGACTTATCATTTAAATCGAAAATAACAACAATAACTTCCAAACAGCTCTGAGAAACTTATGTTTTGACTCATGCTAACATCTGGATCAGTTCACATGAGTTTCAATGCAAACATCTGGATCAGATTGCATAAAGGCTGATTTATACTTCGAAACTAGGTCGTCTGCGTAGGTGTCACAGTGAACAAAAAGACGCCCCCGCCCCCTCCTCAGACACTCTGCTGCACCTGTCCCAAACTGTAGTTGACCGCAGACAGGAGGCCGTCTTGTTTTGTTTGTTTGACCGCAATTGTGAAAAACAACTTGAGAAGTTGG